AATCTAAAATTTTTCTTTCTTTGTCAACCATTCATTTTTTCAAAAAACACTATTCTACCCATTTTTTTTTTTCAAAAAAAGGGGGCCTAACGGAAGCTTAATTTCAATTGCATATTTTATGAATTCACAACTTTTCAACGACAAATTTTATCAACTTTTATTATATCTAAATTTAATCATCACTAAACAAGAATCAAGTATCTTTCTATTCGGACTAGCTCCATTTGGATAAGCTTATAAATGGATTAATGCATAAATAAATAAAATATTTGAAGTTCATCTTTAGAAACGTGTTGTTGAAAATAAGATTGATTATTTATATAACTTATAAATTTTGCCAAACAAAGACATTGATAAATTTTATTTTTTAATTTATTTTTGAAGTAAAATGTTATTTGTTTAATGGATTTTTACTTTGGACCTAGTTCGATGCCAATTAAAAAATAGTTTTTCTTTCTTTCCTTTTTTTTAGAAAATATGAGTTGTGAAACAGTGATTTTTTTAAGAATATGTGGTTAAAAGTATAGAATATTTTGATTTTACGTGTAAAATATTTTATTATGAAAATATATTATTAAAAATAAATTTTTTTAATTTTTTTTTTTTTTTAGAATGGCAGACAAATAGAAACTTATTATTCTCTTTTTTACGAATATTTAGCATATCTATGGTGATAATTAAAATCGAATTTTTAGCAAATTTTCATAAAAAATGATGAAATGTGTAACTAAAATATTGTGAGTCTTATAAAATATATAACTAAAATTAATTATTGGCTTGATTTAAATTTATTGTTTTAATTTTAATTTTAATTTCTATCAAACATGTACTTAATAAATGTTTATTATTCACAAGTTCGTGGGAAGAAGTACGGTGGGGCCTACACTTGACAGGCAAAAATTTTCATCCATTCAACAATCTTCCTCTGTAAGACTGTAATAGTCAAAAGATTGAACCACAATCTTAAGGGTCCTCCACTGCCCCTGGAGCATTGTGAGTGAGGTTAATTGTGGAATGTGTCCTAACAGGTCAAAGAACAAAAACTGTCTGTACACTGATATCCACGAAAACTCAATCCATATTTCAGGAATTGAACTCTCACATTATGACTACCGGCAAAGCTAAATATACCTCACCCTTATTATTTGCACAATTGAAATATGCCCCGAGAGCATCTATAATAGTAACTTGTACTTCTCCTAGACAGAAGTTCATCGTACTTAACCCATAAAGCTTGCTAGTGTTCAACGCTTCTTTGTGTTACACCTGATGCCATCGCAATGCACATTATCATTAAGGGTTAAATTCACTAATGATCACCCAACTTATATTTAATGTCACAGTGGTCATCTAATTTGATTTTGTTTCATCAAGATCATCAAACTTTATACTTAGTAGTCATAATAGACATTTATTTGATTTTATTATACCATGATCACCAAATTTCATGTAATATTTCACCGTGGCCACCCAATTTCTTTTCACCATTTTTACTAATTTTAAAAGGGATAAAACGGTAACTTTGTATCATATATAAAAAATAAATTAAATTTTTTTAAATTTTAAAATAAGTTTTTATTTTTCTAATTAGATTTTTCTTAAAAATAAAATTTTATTAATTTTTTAACGGAAATTTATTTTAAAAATAAATTCTTTATTTTATTTTATTTTTTTGAGTAATTTTTTTTTTTACCTAAGTTTTTATTTTATTTTAAATTGAATATTTTTTATTTTATTTTTCTAAGTAAATTTTTTTAATAAGTTTTTATTTTATTTTTCTAAGTAGATTTTGTAAAATAAGTTATTTTATTTTATTTTCTTAAGTAACTTTTTTGTAAATAAGTTTTTATTTTTTTTAAAATAGGATTTTATTTTAAATTTTTTTAAAATGTTATTTATATATAAAGCAAAGTTGACAATTTACCCCTTCTAAAATTAGTGAGATTGGGAAAAAAAAATTTGATGACTATGATGAAACGTTATATAAAATTAGGTGGTCATAATAAAATATTATATGAAATTGAGTGGCGACAGTGAAACAAAATCAAATTGGGTGGCCATAGTGATAATAACTATAACGTTGGATATTCATTATGAAGCAAAATCAAATTAAGTGATCGTTGTAAAACCAAGTATAATGTTGGGTGACCATTGATGAATTTAACCCTTATCATCAACGTCCCCAACTTGGCTAGTTTGCTTGTCACGATCCGAAATGTGGCAGGTGGCAAATTGTTTTCAAATATTTAGGTTTTTTCTTATTTGAAATGGTTTTTTCTTGCCATTAGCATTAAGAAAATAATATATCGAGTCATCGTCCTTGTTTGGGTTTGATTTTACTCAGTCGGTACAAAAAGTCAAGTCATTAGCAAGATATCGCATATTAAGGCATTTAAAATTGACATTCATGCACAATTTATACATTTTATCTTATTAAGGCCCTTCCCATAAATATGTTTCATATTTGTACGCCATGAGCTCATCTTGGAATTCTTAAGCACAATTGGCTCGTCTTGAAAATTTTAGGCTATACAAACCCTATGCGGACTACGATGAGTAAGCTAAACAAGCTCTAGTTGAATTACACGAACACTTGGTCTTTATTGATCGATATTACTTTGGACGACATAAATGCTCTTATGGGCTACACAAGGCCCTAGTTGGTGTACAAATAGTTTCGAGATCTCTATAGGGTGTTTGGTAAATATTAAAAGTAGATTCTTTAGTAAATTTGGAAGCTTTTTTTTGTGTCAAATTTATGCGAACAAGTAAATTCAGAAGCTCTTTTTCGAGCATCAAATTTACGCGGACAAGTAAGTTCAGAAACTTTTTTCGATTCTGTATATTTTTGTTACTTGAAAGCATTTTAAAGTGTAATGAATAAAGCAGGACTTGTATATAGGGATAATTGCAATAGAAGCTCCAAAACTTTTAAACACCAGCGGACTTTCCTCTAACTTTTCGTCTGTTGTAGCCGTCACTCCAAATCTTTCAAAATGTTGCATTTGAGACCCTTTGGGGTGGAATCCATCTACAATTTCGTTAGTTAATCAAAAATTTAACTTTAACAACATTTTTAATATTTTAAAAATGGACAAAAATGTAACTTTATATTTATCACGTTAAATAATTAAATCAAAAAAGAAATAAGAAATAAAAAGAAAAACACACACACATAATCACACCTAGTAAGAAAAAGTATTTTGTTTTGGTTTGACTTGTCATCACAAAGATGATATATTAAGCAGTTACATATCCTGGACTTTTAACACAAATAAACGCGTCACGAGTTCCATATAGATTACTTCTTAATACAATTTCTTTTAAATTCATTAAAATTTCATGGACTGATTCTTGAATACCCGCTACGATAGAATATTCATGTGGGATGTTCTCAGATTTTACATGTGTGATACATGTTTCTTCTATTTCTCCAAATAAAGCTCTTCGCATCGCAATGCCTATTGTGTTGAATTGACCTTTCATAAGCGGAGACAGAATAAAGCATTAATCATATTCTTCCTCTCACCACCAAATCCCCACCTCCAACCCTGTCTCAAACCCAACATCCACCCGACCACCTTCCCCTCCACCTCCACCTCCACAACCACACCTACTATGAGGATATTTTCTGTCGCCCCCCGGGGCATATCCCAGTGGTGCAAAGGATAGGAGTGAGGTTATCTCAGGTCTTGTTGGCAGCCGCAGTGTGAGGGTTCGATTTCATGAGACATGAAATTGGATTCCTTGTAAACGCAATGTATATGCAGCTCTTGTTCCCTAACTTGCAGAGACACATCCCGCGATTTACCTCACTCACAAAACTCTAGGGGCGGAGCGATGAGAACCCTCAAGGTTGGGGTTCAACTTTAAGATATGTTTCTGTCACCAATTTCTTACTTTTGTGTAGACTTTTATGAGCTTAATCAAACATTTCTTTTAGCAAGTACAAAATTGCCAAAAATGCCCAAACCCTATAAAGTTCCTGTTTCCTTTCCTTTCCTTTTCCCTCTTGAAGAATTATACTTTTCCTCATTGAGCACTCAAAGCAAGTTGTTTTTGCCACTAGTTTCCTTTCCCTTTTTCTTGTACTGTCCAAATGAAATGGAAAATGGAGGTAGATGAGATCGAATCAATGCTTGAAAAAATATGGGATTTACACAACAAGCTTAACAAAGCCATTCACTCGATTTCTTGAGCCCAGTTCGTGAACTCGGTCAAGAATTCCTGTAAATTCACCACCTCTGGTGAATCCTATTTCTATTGAAAAAATCAAGCCGCCACCTCCGTGGAAGATTCTGCCAGCAATCCTGGGTCGGGTTTTGTATTCATGGAGGAATTCTGAGTGGAGGACGATGAATTGGCCCTTCAAGAAGCCAAGAGTCTCTACGCCATTTGAATTGCGCTCGAGAATCTTGAAGATCAGCTAGAATTTTTTCATGTAAGTTTAGATTATATGGAAATATATCAAGTTTACTATTTTGCCCTTATAGAAATAGTTAAAATACGATCAAAGTCATCTTTTTAGGTCAATTAATGGTAAATTGAACAAATTTCATCCAAAATGGCTTCAGATGAAACGTTTTGAAAGATTTTGGATGACAACTATAACAAATAAAATGTTAAAAGAAAGTCTACTAGTGTTTTAAAAATTTGGAAGCTTCAACTCCAATTATCCCTTATATATATATCGATATTTAGTTAATGTTGATGTGACACACTATAATAGATAGTGTAATTAATTTTGTAATTAACGATTATTTTTCAAAAAAAAGAAGAAGACATTTTTCTACCTTCTTTTTAATCATACAATTTTTAATAAAATAATATTACATATAAATTTAAAATTTTTTCTTATTTTTTAATCATATATTTTTCTTCAATTTAGTATTCTAAAATATATTTTTAGCCAAAATTGTGGTCCTAACAGTCGTTGAGCATCACATCTAGAGAAAAGTAAAAGTCAGTTGGCAGAAAAACAGTCTTTCAAGTTAAAATAATATCAAATGACTGTAAAATTCATGAAAAGAGGGAAGAAAATTTTGGATACACGTTGGAACGTGCGTTTGATTTCCACATTATTCAATTTCGGTAAACATTCAAAGTGTTGGTAAGATTTCAAACCATTTACAGGTCAAGATATCCAACTACTATATATTTCTTTAAGCTGATCCCTAAATTTCAGATATTGAATTGGGGAAAAAAAAATAGAAGAAATGGGTTGGATGAGTAGATTTTTAGCGGCAGCGACATTCTTGGCAATCGGTGTGACTTTTTTGCCGGAGAAATCGGAATCGGAATCTGCGAATCAGCATTCTCCGAAACTCGTCAATCTATTGAAGTTGGCTCGCTTGCTCTGCTTCTCCACCGCGTGGGGTGCCGCTCTCTGGGTCACCTTCATCGGCGGCATTATCATGTTCAAGTAATCTATCTACCCTAATTTCACTTTCTTAATTAAAAATCGAAACTAGGGTTTCATAGTGTCAATATGTCTAGAAACTTGAGCACGAGTTATTAATTCTAATTTCATAACAAGATATTGGTAATTGCTAAAACGGCATATCAAATTACTGTTGCATAGGAATTTGCCACGGCATCAATTTGGAAATTTGCAGAGCAAGATGTTTCCGGCATACTTTTCAATGGTGGGAGTTTGTTGTGCAGTGGCTGCTGCAGCTTTTGGATACCTGCATCCATGGAAGGCGTCAACAGCTGCTGAGAAATACCAGCTCGGCTTCCTCATGTCTGCCTTTGCTTTCAATCTCTGCAATCTTGTAGTCTTTACACCCATGACGATCGAGGTATTTCCTAATTTTCCTATATATCAACGTCAAGTTAACAGCTTCTAGTCCAATACACTTATGAGTATTATACACCAGAATGTCCCAACGGTTCTTTCTATTGTGGTGAAGTTATATGACTTAACTGCATTACTATTGAAGATTATTTGGTAGTGTAGGTTCAAGATAGTTTAAAGACCGAAAGATATTCGAGGCAAAAATCAAGTATAAACGTAGATTTGAAGAAGAATAGTAAAAGAACACAAGATTTTTCGGTCGAAGCCCCGAGGTTCAGCGATTGATAAGATCGCCTAGTCCCCGTTGAGCATTCATAAGGATTTAAGCTCGAATCTACTAAATCACTGGCCAAAACCGCAACTTCGAGTTACAAAAATGAACACACGGTTCATCAACACAAACAACAACAACCGGCCGCTTCTCAACCAGTAGAACTCACACAAGAGTTCAATTAAATACACTTTTCTCTCAACCAACTAAATGATCTAACAGATCAAAAGAGTAAATCCAAGATTACAGAGAGAAAAACGAGAGGCCGCCGCTCACAAATGACTAGAGCTAAAACCCTAGCGTTTTGAGCTCCTTTTAAATGAAAGGAGCTAATTCATCAATCCAACGGCCTTCAACATGCCACGTGTCTTCATCTGGTGAAGTTGTTAAATTAAAAACAGAAAATGCGTTTTTGATTTCAATTCCAGATCCTTCTAATTATTGGACTATCAAACTGGGTCAGATGATTGGGCCATATATTTGGGCTGGACTTTCACAAAATGCAGCAACCCAATCTTACAATCTCCACCTTTGCTGTCTTTTGTGTCTGCTTTTTTGTGGATTCAAACTCAAACATCTTATTTCATTTGCTCTTATTACCTGAAAAAATATTAAAAGTCAGTCTTCTTCAAAATTAATTAATCTTAAAGAATCAACAAACTTACTAATAAGGATTACCTTAGTTCCGACATCTGCTGAATTTACCTTAGTAGGTATTTTGATCAATTTAATATTACCCATATTAATGATATCTCTAATAAAATGGAACTTTACATCTATATGCTTGGATCTATCATGCAAAATAGGATTTTTACTTAGAAAAATAGCACTTTGGTTATCTGAACATGGCTTCACCTGATTTTCTATAAGTCCTAATTCACAAAGTAAACCCTTCAACCATAAACCCTTCTTAACTGCTTCAGTTGCAGCTATGTATTCAACTTTGGTTGAAGACAATGCAACCAATTTTTGAAGTTGGGATTTCCAGCTAATGCATGTATCATTTATAACATAAAAACATGCAGTTGTAGACTTCCTATTGTCCGGGTTACCAGCAAAATCTGAATCTACATAACCCTTAAGTCTAAGTCCATTTTTATTAGTTTTGAACATTAAACCTAAGTTACTGGTTCCTTTCAAGTATTTAATCAAATTTTTCATGCATTGTCAATGTATTTCACCTGGGTTACTCATGAATCTGCTTAACACACTCACAGCATAAGCTATATCAGGCCTAGAGCAAACCATAACATACATTACAGATCCAACAACATTAGAATACAGAACATTCATCATTCCTTTATGTTCGTCTTCAGTTTTAGGCGATTGATCAATAGATAATTTCATTCCAGCAGATAAAGGCAAACTAACAAGCTTAGATTCATGAAGGGAAAACCTTTTAACAACCTTATCGACATAAGATTTTTGTGTTAGAAACAACTTTCCATTTATTCTATCTTTTTTTATTTCCATATCCAAAATCTTTCTAGCTGGTCCTAAATCTTTCATTTCAAATTCAGATTTCAGATTTCTTTAATTGAGTTAAGTGCAACAGAATTATGACCAGCAAGGAGCATATCATTGACATACAAAAGCAGATAGAAAAAATTAGATTTACCTTTTTTCTTATAATAGAAACAGGGATCATATTCAGATTTCTTGAAATTCAAACTTTGTATAAAAGAGTCAAATCTTTTATACCACTGCCTAGGAGCCTGTTTTAGGCCATATAAGGATTTCTTTAGAAGACAAACTAAGTTTCCCTTTCCTACCACTTCAAAGCCTCTTGGTTGAGTCATATGTATGGTTTCATCTAAAGAACCATACAAGAAGGTAGTTTTCACATCGAGTTGTTCTAACTCCAAGTCAAATTGTGTCACTATAACAAGTAAGACCCCAATGGATGTATATTTAACAATAGGTGAAAAGATTTCAGTGTAATCTATTCCTTCCCTTTGGTTAAAGTCTTTAGCTACAAGTCTTGCCTTAAATCTTTTATCACTAGCTTTAATCTCACCCTCTTTAATTTTATAAACCCATTTATAATCAATCAATTTACAATCTTTGGGTTTTTCAACTAAAGTCCAGATCTCATTTTTAAAGAGTGAGTTCATTTCATCTTCCATCGCAGCAATCCACTCAGGGGATTCTTTGGAAGAAATAGCCTCTTCATAAGAGGCTGGTTCTGTGTCAAACTGGTCAGATTCAGTCTGATTAGATGCAAAATCAGCATACTAATATCTTGAAGGAGGTCTTATTTGCCTCCTTTCTCCGTCTCTAGCAAGTTGGTAGCCCCGCAGATCATGTGCAGGCTCCAGATGCTGTTCATCTTCCAATATTTCAACATCAGAGACATTCTGTGGTTCTACCTGATGTGGCTCCACCTTAAACTGAGCCTGGTCATCAGTATTTTGATTATCAAAATTAATTTTTGTGATAATAAAGTCATATTTTCCCAATTTTTCACCAGATTTGTTACTAAGAAAGGGGAAATCATCTTCATTAAAGATCACAGATCTGCTTGTTATCACCTTATAACCCCCTCACATCTCTTAATCACAGTCTATAACCTTTAATACCTTTTCTATATCCTAAGAACACACCCTTCAATGATCTAGGGTCCAATTTTGACTCAGTATGATGTGCATAAGTTGCACATCCAAAAGTTCTTAGATGAGAATAATCTGACATTTA